CAAGGGTGTGGTGAGGCAGGAGTAGCCTCAGAGGCTGATGGCTCCAGCTAGCCTCAGATGCCACCCAGCAGAGTGTTGGCTGTGTGTTGCTGGTGACGGGGACCCATGGGAGGGTTCCAGGCAGGTGAAGGAGGCTTGATCCGATCTGATTTTGCGTTCACTCTGGTAGCTGTGCGGTGGAATGGGAGCGGGGAACTAGAGGACGTGGAGTTGGAAACATGGAGTGCGTCATCATGCTGGAGGGGTCGGGGGCTACAGGACGGAGTGGTGGACACAGCACTGAAGGAGGGAGAGGCTGGCTCTGAAGGACTCTGTGACTACTTGGGTGTGGGCCAAGGGAACAAGGAATTGGGAGGCCGTGTCCTGCCCTGTGACAGCGTAGCCCCTGGAGCCAGGTGGCCTGTTTCCTGCTTTAACTTACCACTCACTTGGCCTTGGACAAGCTACTCCATTTCTCTGAGCCTGGGGATGATCACAGTACCGGTGTCCTAGTGCTGGAGTAAGTGATCTGAGAGACAGAACAGAAAATACTCGGGGCAGGGGACCAATGGGGGCGCAGTGGAAAAGCACAATGCCCTGAGAGGCTGACCCACGAGAACAGGTTCTGGGTTTGTGTCTGGAGACCTCCCTGGGCACCAGTACTCAGTGCTGAGTGTACCCCATGATTCAGGGCTGGCTGAAACTGGGGGTGGATTGTCATGTCAAGACCCTAGTGGGGGTGCTGTCTTCCTCTCTGTCTCTGTCTCTCTTGATCATGGAAGGAATAAATAAGTACATTGAAAACAAACACACAAAACCTTAGTAAAGGATCCGCTCAAAGTAAGCCCCATGTAAGAAGGGTCCCTCCAACTCAACACTACTGACATTTTGCACTAGAGAGCTTTATCGTGTATGTGTGTGTGTGTGTGTGTGTGTGTGTATGTGGTAGTGGGGGGGACTGCCTTGCACACCACAGGCTTGGCTGCATTTCCGGCTGCTACCAGCAATACTCCTCCCTCCAACAACGTCTCGAGATGTCCCCGAGGAGGCCAAACAGCTCCTGGTTGATGACCACCGCTGTGTCAAGGTTACTGCTGTCATTACTGGGTAGAGATCACTTCAGGCTTTGTCAGTCTGAGAGTTGGTGGGGCCACCCCAGCCCACCCTCAAGATAGATGGACTAGAAAAAGAGTTAGCTGTATGTTGGGTAATTTGGGTTAAATCAGCTCAGACCACATCCACATCAAAGTCGTTCTTAGGAGGGGCCAGGTCTGTAGTGTGGTGGTGAAGTGCTATGCACAGGGAGTTAGATCCCTAACAGCCAACCGCAGTTCAAATCCCAGCCTGGGGGCTCAAGGACAGGGCAGGCGTGTGTGCATTCGTGTGCATTCACTCCTCGCTCCGATGGGGTAGAGATATAGGGAAGGGATGCGGTGTACCCATGCCCTGTTGGAGCTTGCTGTCTGTCTGTTCTCTGGTGAGAGCATGCCCACTCAGAAAATTTAAACAAAACAAAAAAGACTGGTTTTATGAGTTTTCTGGTCATATTTAAATATAGTTTTGCACATTGGGAGCAGGAGTGAATCATTTTCGCAAAACATTCTTTTTTAAGTAAATACTCTCAATAAGAGTGTTTTCATGTTATTTTTATAGCTCAAAAGTTTGTTTATAAGAATTTAGAATTATTTTATTCTCCCTGGAGGCCTAGAAATGGAATCTAATTAAAAACCAAACCTTGAGCTCCCAAACTTTAGACTTAGTGGGCGTCTTGCTCAGCTGTTTGATCGCCGACCTGCCGGGCTCCGGGCCCCCTCCAGTGGCGGGAGGAGGGCCCACAGCTGAATTTGCCACTGTTTGTGCCGAATCTGCCACTCGGGCATTTTAGGGCCAGGCCGCACGCTCCCAGGGGCTGTGCCTGCCACATCTGCCCTGCCGCCACGGCTTCTCCCCCCGGGGCCACTCGGCCACCTGCGGTCCTTTCTGGCTGCCTTTTCCTCGGGGCCTGGAGCAGGTGGGAGGAAGAGCAGGAGGCCGGCGAATCTCTGAGCCACGTTCTCCCTTCGGCACCTGCTTCTCCAGGCTCCAGTGGGCAGCCCGGGAGCCTCCTGCAGAGCACAGCCTCATTCACATTCATCCCCGCCTGGCACGGTGCCCTTGCCGGGGCCCAATGGCATCTTCTGGCCAGCCTGGGGGAGACTGGCATCAGCAGTTGTATCCGGTTTCCTAACGAGCCTGAGAAAATGGCAGGAAACTTGATTTTGTAAATTGAAGGAAAAAAATGTTTGCATTTGGGGCTGGCAGGTGGCATGGTGGTTAAGGGTGCTGGACTCCCACGTGGCTGACCACGGTTGGAAGCCCAGACCTGGCAGCTTGCTTTCTCACTTTCCCTCTCTCACTCTCTCTCACTCTGTCCCTCTGTGGACAAATGAAAATAAATACATAAATAAATAAAGTTAAATAAAATAATTCTTTAAAAAATAAATGTTTACATTTTAAACGTATCCTGCCTTTGGCCTCTTATAAAAAGTAAATTAGCAAGTGACTCCACCACCTGTGGTTAAGGCAGGTGGATCCCACATGGCGAACGGTTGGTTTGAGACCCAGACCTGGTGGCTTGAGAAACACACTCAGTACATGTGTGAGTGTGCACAACATCCCTAACGGTGGGGGAGAGAGAGGAGAAGGGATTGCGGGGTGACCATTCCCCGGGGGATGCTTTCTCGCTTTCCCTCTCTCTCTGTCTCTCTGTCTCTCTCATGAACGCATACTCCCTCTGGCACACACACACGCACACCACAGAGCGGTAAGACTGCTGTGATCCCTGGTCCCTCAACGCCCCCTTCCATGTTTGACGTGCTCCTGGGGTCTGGCTGGCTCGGACGTGCCTGGACAACCGTAGTTAATGGGGATGTTTGCACTGTCTTCTCTGCGGCTGCCCTGCCCTGCCCCGCCCTGCTGATGAAGCCACGTTACTAGAACCTCCTCCCCATATCACGGCTTTCGTGTCTGAGCTCAGCGATGAGATAGGCTGAGGTGTCAGAGGCCAGATGCTTGGAATTGTTGCTGGGGGGACTGAATGGGGGCCCAGCACAGCCTGGGAGCAGTCTGTGTGCTCTGAAGTCACTCACAGCGTTTCATTCATTCATCCGTCCACTGAACCAGCACCCACCGAGTGCCTCCTGTAAGCCCAACTGACACTGTTTTGGTTCTTTTTAAGAATTATTTTTTATTTTAGCTTTAGTCATTTACTTTAATTTGACCAGAAAGAGACAC